TTTTTTTTTTCTTGTAACGGCAATTTATACTAAAAGGATATCAAGGTACGCGCGCCTTGGCTTCATTCGTAAACCGCAAAAATTGAATTTGTATTATTTTACAACATTTAACCCAAGTATAAATAATGTAATGATGAAGTAAATTTATGGAGTGTTTGCGTTTCGAATTTGAACTTCTCACCATCAGCCGCTCACAACTTCCACATATTTCACATATATCACAACTTTCACATATTTTCTTATGGTCAAAATTCTGAAACCATTGATTTACTGTAGCGCATAACGCACCCACAGAAGTATAACTTAAAAATAATTACTTGCAGTTTATTTAAAATTGTTGTCAATAACAAATATATAAAAACATAATGATGTAAGGTTATATGACCCATACAAAAAGATCCTCTATATTTATTTATTGTAAAAGAAATCTGTTTAATATTTTATAATTTATGTAACATGCATCATCAACTTACACCTAATATAATTGTATTTTACTGTAAAATTTCATGTAATATTTATGATATAAGTTAAGAATCAAAACAAGAAAAATTTGCTTTCACGAAGTAACATATTATTCAATGTCTAATCTAGGAGTCATGATGGCTGTGGATAAGGTCATAGAAGAACTAAAACTCTTGAGTAAACCTGTAACTACTCCTGAAGAAATTGCTCAAGTTGCTACTATTTCTGCAAATGGTGATACTACCATTGGTAATCTTATTTCTGATGCCATGAAAAAAGTAGGAAAAGAAGGCGTTATTACTGTTAAAGATGGAAAAACATTACATGACGAGTTGGAAGTCATTGAAGGAATGAAATTCGATCGTGGATACATTTCTCCTTACTTTATTAATTCTTCAAAAGGTGCGAAAGTAGAGTTTCAAGATGCCTTACTTTTATTCAGTGAAAAAAAGATATCTTCAATTCAAGCTGTGATTCCTGCTCTGGAACTTGCTAATTCGCAACGAAAACCGATTGTTATCATTGCTGAAGATATTGACGGTGAGGCACTTTCAACTTTGGTTGTTAACCGTTTAAAAATTGGTTTACAAGTGGCAGCTGTCAAAGCTCCTGGTTTTGGAGATAATAGAAAAGCTACCTTGCAAGATATGGCTATTGCTACTGGTGGTATTATTTTCGGAGATGATGCCAATTTAGTAAAGATTGAAGACATTCAAGTATGTATGTTTAATATAGGTTTTTAATACATCAGATTTATGATTAATTAATTAACATTTTAAAAAAAAGTCACAACAAAATGAGTAATAAACTCTTTTTACTCATTTTTACATGCCTGTTATAACAATTACTGAAAACAATTACGTTAGCTGTGCTTAAGATTAATTTTTTCATGTGACTCGTAATATTTAAAACTTAGTTATAAATATTTTCTGCTTAGTTTTCGTAAATCTTATCTACCGTCATTATTCTAATTGTCACCAGATATAAAAATCATGTCATCAAACTCTTTTTTAAATTCGTTCTGTTTTCACTCTGAGATTTCAGCTCTATCAAAATCAGACTCCAAATTTCATTGTTTCATTTTTAGGCAACCGTTTGAACTAACTGCAAAATAGAGTAGCTAATTTAATTAGTCAATTAATCACTTACCACATATCAAAGTGTTTCTTTAAATACTTAAACGTGTTAATTTTTGTACTTAATTGCATATTTATATTTTTACTGTTTTGCAACACTTTACACATAGTCATTATGTAACTGAGTGTTAGACCAATATGTTGTCGTGTGAGTGTTATCTAGACAACTAAATAATTTTTAGCATAAATAATTTTTTAGTTAGATAAAATTTAGTAAACATTTGTAGAAATTGTTATTAATAATTTCTTAATTTAATTCTAACAATGTAGTTTTGATAAGGGTAGCATGAGGTTACTGAAATATCGACATGCCCCTACTTATAGATAGTTGTTTATTTTTTATTTTACCTTCATAAATAAAAAAACATATAAGTAATTTTTTTGTCCAGGTTACGTGGATAGTTTGACTGACTTAAATGCTAGGACCTACTCACTCACCACCACTCTGTGGAAGTATATTCCTGCATCCATTACCAATTATTTCTCAACTGATACCATGATTATACCATCAGTACAATAGAAGCTTCTCTGGTGAGACTTGTTACCGTACATAGTCAAACCTTGTCATTGAAGCTGACACTTTCTTTCTTTAAGATCCACTTGTAGCTGTAGTAATAAAAAAACTAATTTTATGCCTCAAGTATAAAAGCAAAAATTGGATTAAATTGAAATTTTATTTAAAAAAATAAACTTTGAATTACTTAAACAAAAACATTTGGAAAGAATTTTATAACTGTAACAAATTTCGTTATAGGACCCCACACCAACACAATGAGATTGTGGTTCCCAATTAAATGTTCTAAAATTGTAATATGGTATAGTTTAATGGAGTGAACAAAAAAGTCATTAAGAAGGAATTTTAGTTGAGAGTTGAGACTTACACCAGGTAGGGTTATGATAGTTGTACTCACACGGTATCTTAATTCGTTTCATGCAAGATTTCTGGTATGTAGAAAAATTTCTTCCGGTGTGCGGATAAACCTTTGCTACACACCGTTTCCGCACATTGTGCCGCAAAAACTTTTTCCACACACTTTTTCCGCACACTATGTAGCTTTTCTTTGGAAGAGACTCTATCTTGCAGATGTTCACTTCTCGCTTGTTTAGCCAGCACATTCTGCCGAAGCATTGGATCCAGGCTAATAACACTAAAAAAAAGATGGTCAGCCGGTGCACAGTAAGAGATCTTCCTTTTTTTGTTTCAAAATCGTAAATATCGCGATAGAAAGCAGATAACTACTAAATTTTTACTTTTTATTTTATTGATCTGATAATTGTGCATCAAGAAAAACCTATTCTGAGAATATTTGATTGTTGTAAAAAATTGGTATTTTGGCGTAAACATAGATAATAATCTTGTAAAAAAATAGATACAGCTCTAAAAAATAAAGTACAAGCACGATTATCTTGAAATATAGTATATCTTAGTTTTTTGGGTTGCTGAATACGATAAGAAAATTATTTTTGACAAATTCAAATAGGCGATCGAAGTTAAAGGACGAACATTTATTTTTTTTAATCTTTAGGATTTTTTATTAGCTGATTCAATGAAAAAATTGTTTTTAAAGTTGCTGATATAGATTATGACTAATAAGTGAAAAGGAAATTATCAGCAGATCCATATATTTTATTTCTGATCACGGCCTACTCATGAGGTACGTGACATGAAGTGCTATTGTACGTTAGGTACCAGACAAAAACTAAAAATGAAAAGAAAATTCCTTTTCAGGCTTTGTAGGAATTTTTTGTTACCTAAAAGTAATAAAAGAGACTACAAAAATAGTACAATGGTTGATTATAGCATTTTCACTTCGTTGAATAATAACAAAACCTTGCAATAGGTCTTGTTGCTATGATTCATAGAAAGCGTGTACTATCACAGTATTTGCATGAACTTTGAATACTTGCTACTACAAAATAGTTATGGATTAGTGCTTGAGGTTAGTGAAGTTTTTAGCAAGTATAATCATACAGGATTTTGAAACTAATTTAGAAATATAATATAACATGTCAGAAATCCGTTTAATTTTATAATTCAGTTTTAGTCATTTTCATAATCTGAACCAATGCTTTCATCTGTATTGGTCTCAAACTCAGCAGAATCATTTTTTGGGGGTGAGTTGTACTAAAATATTTTTAAGATACATGTATGATATATTATACTATTAATGGGGCTCCAGCGAGCACTGGTACCAACCCAAAAATTATTGTGTCAGTTAGTATCACTGCTGCAAGTATAAGTACGAGCACCATCATGTATGTATGTGTGTAACTGTAAAAATTGTATGCTATTACAAGTAGAATACAAAAACTTGAATACTTTACGAAATATCTTGAATTTTTTTAGGGTTACCTATATTTTGCAAGGTACCATCTAAAAGCGGAGATTTTTTTTTTATAAAACAGTTACTATCCTTATGTATAACTTCTGTATCATGGTTAGAAAATTAAGATATTTTTATGTCGCTCCATAAGAGGTTGTGTACATTGTGCGAATTTTGAGAGAAATTATCTCGAAATTTCCCATGGTTAGAGAGATAGACAAAGACACTACTGGATTCAGTCGGTTCTTATCTATTAATTAAACTAACTACGACCTCTTAACTCCTCCCGCTGGAGCCCCCTTAATACAGATATCAGATTGTTACATTATTCTTACCTGTTTGCTAAGAATCTGGTTGTATCTAAAAGAATATTTGCATGTTTCATTGCTATCATTCTGTCATTTATTAAAATCAATGACATTAAAGGATCACTTGTGTATACATCGCTCTGTTAAAAATATCAGTTATTCTCACTACTCTTGATATTTGTCGCGTATGAGAAGTTGTTATTAAGGATGTAATCAAACCCTGATTATCGAAATACAAGGTTTTTAAAACGTTTGACAACTTCTGAAAGTTTAGAAAAGAATAATATAAATTCCTATCTTTCCGAGGTTTTTGAATATTTCAAAAACTTTGGATTAGGGAATGCAGGTTCTTATACAATCGCATCCGTTAATATGCAAACATGCTTATAGTAATCCGAAGTCTTGAAAATGTTTAAAAACCTCTGAAAGTAAGGAATAAGATAATTTTATTCCGACCTTTCTGAACTTTTCAAATGTTAAAACTGACTTTTATCGGGGTTGTAATTGAACCCTAATAAACAAATTCGAGGGTTGTGAAACCGTTGAAAACCTTGAAAAGTTAAGAAAAAAAAAATTAATTCCTATCTTACCGAGGTTTTTCAATATTTAATAATCTTCAGATTAGAATAAGCAGGTTCTTATGTAATCGTTCACGTTGATATGCAAATATGTTTATCCTAATTCAAAGATTAATGGTACATTACAGCACTAGGGCACAAAGTACAAACATTAGCGCCCGAAGGGCGTGCTTATTGTAGGTTGGTGCCCGAGTCGCGTATACTGTTTTTCTTACCAAGGGCGCAAAGTGATATTTTGCTCCCGTGGGCACACTTTTTGCGCCCAGTAAATCACTTTAGGCCCTAAGGCAAAAAAGTACTTTAGGCCCGGAGAGCGCGAAAAACTTTTCTGCCCGTTGGCCCAAAGTGATAACAAGGGCGCAAAGTGTGACGCGAGGGCACAAAGCGGCAGTTGCACTTTGTGCCCATGGTAAGAAAAAAATACTTTGAAACGTCTAAAGTTAGGAATGAAATTATTTATAGTATAAAAATTTTCTAAATTTTTTAAATGTAAATAAAAAGATTTTTTTCTACCTTAGAAGCTCTAACTTATTGTACATTATATTTAAAAACTCGTAGAACTTGAATTATATCGTCCTAGAAAAAAAAAAAAAAAATTTGATTCAAAGACAGCATAAACAAAACATCATCAAAAGTATATTCGTTTATAATACAGTATCTAGAAAAAAGGAACAACAAAAATTTTAGTGATAGGAAAACCATAAATTGAATTGTAATTTATTAACCTCCCTTAAATTAATTATTGAATACATGGTGAGAATTAATCATTAAATACATGGTACATATTCGAGTACAAAAAAACAGTTAGTCATTTATGTTGTTTGTGGTATTTTGTTTTAATAACACTTACTAAATTCTAAATTACACTTACCTTATTTTTCTACAATTACTTTCACTAAATACCCAAGAAATATCATTTAAGTACTTACTACAAATACAGAAGTGATTCTTTTCTATATCTGTATGACACTAATTTACAAAAAATCTTCTGAATTCAGCTTTTTACTTGATTTTACTTACCAGAGAGTTTATTTATATTGTTTCTATTTTATTACACTGAAAACACAAAGTAATAATATTATATTTTAATTAGTCTGTGAAACAAGTTGAAAACGCAAGTAAACAAAATTTTATGTTTATAACATGAGTTAAGTGCGAAAGTAGTCACTTGAAGTAACTTTAGTTCATTACAATTTGATACTCGGCTTAAATTCCAAAATCTTTTTCGTGATTTAAAAAAAGATGGAAATTAGTTTTGTTTTTAAAGTGTTATGATTAAGTACATTTGTTTACATCCAGTTGGAGAGACGGTAGCAAACAGCGTGCGGCGTACCCACTGCCGTCGTGTTTATCGTTTAAATACTACGTAA